GCTCAAGCAGTACTACGACCGTCTTTCTTGTATGTTATGTGCGTTATAATGGTTGTCTCTCGAATGAAGGCTGCTGAGTTGGAACAAGATGACATGCTGGTAGAAAAAAGGTTTCCTAAAATTGTGGTGAGTACACAATATTTATTTTGTGCACGTTTGAGTAAATCAATCTTCGAGTCGGTATATTGTATGTAAACTGAATATATTATTATCAATTTTTAATATCTTGTTAAATTGAGACACGACTTGGCTGGACAATGCGGATGGAATCCAATTCATCTATTTTGAATATAGTCCCCTCCAAGTTCTGTTAATAAAAGTCACTAATTTCGTGTTAATAGTACATCGATCACCACGAACCACGACCAAAGAAAACACTGCACATGAGTGCAGTTTGTGTCGGTATACTATATATATACTGGAACGATCTTTACTTGTTAAATTGAGACTGGATTAAGTCGGACATTAAGGTTCATCAGGCTATGTCCATTTTCACGATTAACTAAGCTACATTTTGTAGATTATCTCCGTATCTCACTACAGAAATTAAACTACTGATTATTCACATTCACAGCTTTAAAACATCTATGGAATTTATTGTACATTATGATGGATTCAATAATAAAAAGAAAGTCCGAAAATCATGATCTAAATGTTCTCCAGCGAATGCAGGTTTAGAAAATGAACAATCAAAAAACACTCTTGTGAGCTCAGCTAAGCTGAGATGATTGATGATTGCTTGAAACTTATTTAAATCTATGCAAGTATCATCGCCTTCCCTCTTGCCCACAATATCAATTGTTGACTGATCCAATGTATATTTCTTGATCCAATAAAATACAGAAATCGTATATATATATATATATATATATATATATATATATATATATATATATATATATATATATATATATATATATATATATATAGAAGGTAATCGGACCCGGCGTTGAACAACTACAGACTCATTTCCATCCTCTCTTACCATTCCTTAATTTCCTGGATAAAACATTATCCTATTAAAACACAATTTGGATTCTGTACACAAGATAGTACCAAGCTTGACTTAGTCTCTGAAAAGCTATACAACAGCCTTTTAACGTTTGGTATCTTTATTGAATTTAGGAATGCTATTGACACTATCGATCATAATATTCAGTCTGAAGTACACAAAAATTAAACAGTGGAATTCATTGCCGCCTATATAAAAAAATACACACGACATACTACCTAGAACAATATCTTTTTAATGAACGTTTTACCTAGCCCATATACTCCACATTCTTCTATATATCCTACCAAAATACTTTCCTTTATTATCCCACTCGAACCAATTCTCTTTGCTTTGTATGATAACCAAATACATAATACTAATTTTGTGGTATTGCACTGGGTAATTTGTCCTACCATATTAAGAAATGCGAATTCCAAATATGCAACAATTACGCGCGAAAGCGTCCTTTAACAATAAAAAAGCATGGTTTGACCGGACCCCGCATAAAGTAGTTCGCTAAATCTGATTTCGGCATTTCCATGATGTGTTCCTGGAAGGAAAAGATGTATATACATATACTGGTAGGAAAAATACAGTTGCAAATCACTTTGACCTTAAATTGCACACAAAAAAACATTTTCCACAAATTGTGATGTCCGATGCATAGCCATTGATGATAAACAAATATTAAACAACGGATATTCCACAATAATCTACAGCATGTAATGATATATTTAATCAAACCATGTCGCATCTATAAAAAATTGTGAAACATGAATTACAATTTTTACGTTTCGAAAACGTAAAATTGTTAACAAAAATGCTAAATGTGCATCACAAAAATATGCAATCGTCTAGTCCTGGCCATAAATGACATTTATATGCTTCATAGGTTATACAACCATATCATACGAGGATTATTATCAACTAAACATATGACTGGAAATATGCGAACAAATAAATCTTTTTACATATTACCGGGAGCTTATACTGGTTGTTGCATCATGAATAATCTGCAGGTAATATTCTAACTGAGATTGAATACCACGAAGTTGTCAGTTCGTAGGTGTGTACAAATAATGATTTGTGAGCTAAATACTATTTTGACGTAGTATTCTGGTCAATGACAGGGCGTGGTTGCACCAGAATAACGCATTATTATAATTCATAGAATCGAAAAAGTATATTTCCACTGAATTGTTAAAAACTAATTGTATCTTACAGACCTGTACTACAGACTTGGACTGTGTTCATATGAACATTGAATCATGTTGCGCACGAAGCCAACTCGGGCCGTTTAGAGTCTGTAAACCACTTGGCAAGTTTACCAAACCATGCAACGTCAACAGTTCTCCGTGGCCACGTGGGAACCACAGAGTAGGGCGCATGTGCCCATGTTCACCGGAATACGTCTGTGCTAATACTCTCAGCACTGACACCATTGGAATTTGTCTGATTTGATACATGATAAAACGATACACCTTTGAAGATATAAATGATTGCTAATGTTGCCATGACATCGACTAATTCTTTAATTCAAAATCGCTTAAGCAAATCGCAATGTTAATTCGATGTATTCTAGCTCTGAATATATAATCTCATAACTGATATATTTGTAAATGTTTTTAAATTTCCAATATTCGTAGCACACAACCTTGGCATTACAGTTATTTTTCTTTTATATTTCCATATTGTAAGCTCTGTCATATTCAATACATATTGCAGGACATTAAAATCATTATTTGAAATAAGTTTAATTATCCTTTATCTCTAACTGAATCTCTAACGTGTGAGTTCGAACCACAACTTGGTCTATGTTTCAATAGTCGAGGAGGAAATAGCATTTATCTTAATTAATTCGTATGCAATATATGAAGAATGGTCCAATATTCACTACTGAAGTTAAATATTATAATTGAAAGGTAGGCCTTAATTCTCGCCGGTTCTAAGGTTTATATATATAATTCTTCATTTCTTCTGCTATAGAATATTTGGTATTTGTATTTTTATTTAATTCCATTGAAACATAATATTGTATCACTTAGTTTAGTTACATCTGTACATCACCATTTTGGCGTTTTTTAGCATTTTATATGGTTATGTTTCCTTCCATGTCTTGTATTTTATTTGATCTTAATTGATGTAATATCACATGTTACAAAATAAATAGCTTTCGCTGAAGCAAAATAACACAATGTTTGCGTGTGTTTTGTAACAAAACTCTTGCAAAAACACTTCATTCATATCATGATATGTCAACATATCAGCACAGAATAATTTGTTGCCATCACTGTACGTCCACTTTTTCCATACTACGTAAATACTCATCATAGTCATGCGAGAATTGAAAGTTCATCATACATAAACACTACATGATGACGGGTCTTAGTAAAAAGCTGTGTGTTGTTTTCACTTGAAGAATATTCAGTCTTGTAAAATTTCGGTTTGGTTGTATTAATATGGGAAAGCAGATTAATCCAAGATGCATGTTTTGTGATGTAAAATTATGTATTAAAAGACTACCAGTTGTTGTTATATGTGCTTCGGATCTAAAATATATACAAAACCTCACACCATTTACATGTAGATTTATATGTCTCATTTCATCTACTGTATGTAATATTAGTTATGACAACCTAGAATTTTATTTAAACAATAACGAGGCGTGAGCCGAGCACATACCGGTATATGAAGCACAAAGTGTCCTTGAGTCCATTATGGGTTGGCAGGGAGTTCATTATTGTCATTATTTTGTAGCGTTGTCAATACCAGTGGATTTTCTGGCTCTAATACGCGGAAAATTTGGAGAAAAACCACAGTGAACTGAACAGTTTCACAGTCACTGGCCCGTGAATCTGAATAATTTAAATGTCTTTTCTGGAAATTGTTTTCACAATCTCATATGGCATACTTAGAACGAAACTATTTTTAGTCCATCAAATATTATTGTGATTATTTGTTTTACCACGAGAGTGGACGAGTTACTGGTGTGTGGTGGGGAGTAGCATTGTAGTGGTCGCCCGAGCGAACGGCACACCGTGACAGGTACGCCGTCCCGGTGTCCGCCACGGCCTTGCACTAAGTTTATTGACACGGCTATTTGCAAATTCGTGACTGTGACTGTGACTTATAATAATTATTTAATTTGCATAGGAATAATCTCCGTTTTGAACTCGATTCGCGAAAGCGAGTGTAATTCGTTTACACTTATGTTGATTCGTATCACTTCTGTATTTGCTATAAATCGATATTTATATCTAGCAAGTATAACGACTGTGACGATTTCACGCATATCAGGGTATATTCAACGACGTCGATGTGATTGAACCATCTACAGACGGTGGGTCACAACGAAATGACGTGGTGACTCATGGAAAACAAATAGAAATGATGTGTATACTATACTCGTTTCTTCTTTCTAGTTGGTTTGCTGTGTCGGTCATCCATTTAAAACACGGCAGGTAACTTGACGACTTATTGCTGAACTTGCCTTTGATGAACGTAACCACAACTTAGACCGTTGTTTGTTAGTGATCTTTATTTTTAAAAGTAGTTTCTGCTTCTTCGATTATTAATTTATTTATTTATTTATTTATTTATTTATTTATTTATTTATTTATTTATTTATTTATTTATTTATTTATTTATTTATTTATTTATTTATAATACATAACGTGTATATGTCTTACATTTGAAAATGCATTTTTAACTCGTTTTAGCTACAAAAGCTATTATACTGATCTCCAATCGCCAATAACACGCTATATATAAATAAAATAAAATAAACCGCCATTGTCTCTAAGAAGCCTACCTAAGAGGCTGAGCCTGTATTTACTCTTTTAACGTGTGAGCATAGACCTAAGATCCATGGTGTAAGCGAACAGTTGTGTAATGTGAGAAGTGTAATTAATGAGTTATGTGACGTTATTGTTACTCTTGCACTGCCACTGGTATGAAACGCAAGCAGGAAGTAAATTGACGTAATTAAGAGCAAACAAAACGACCAGTAGCTGAGGTTCACAAGATGGTTCGTTACGGGCTTTTCACGCTGCTTCTAATAGCCATATACTGTGTATCTCCCAAGCATGGACACGTTACAATTAGCGACAATGGCTATGACGGAATTGTGGTAGCGATACATCGCCATATTTCCGAAAACCCGAGTCTGATAGACGAAATCAAGGTACGATTTAACTGTTTGCGTTAAACGACCAATTGAGGTGGAAAGGGACGAATTTCGCAACTCGTTTTACTCATATCTTGAATACTGATATTTCTGTAGCAAATATAATTCAATAGTTGTCTTCTTGAGCAGATTTGTCCCGTTATATGGTTCATCACATTTCATGAATTCATTGTGTTAATTAGCTTTTTTCAATAATGCAGCGCGCTAGCTGCTTGTGAAGATTTGGAACAATGCCAAATTTTGGAGGGCATTCAAACCTTCAACAATAAGAAAATAAACGTCACAATGCCTATTGTAACGAACGCAATATAACCTCAGTTACCTTATGACATTGACGATATGTCATTGTAACACAAAGCTCGTCAACACACATTATAAAATAAGATATCCACGAACTAGATAAGCACTGTGAGTGTGAAAAGTCCGATAACCAAACTTCATTGTATATGTAGCTTTCTGCAGTCCATCGGTCACTGTACGCTCCACCAGTTTCATTTCTGCCAATGTACGCCTCTGGAAGTCACCTCCGGGCGACGTCAACGTCTAAACTTCGTCATGCTCGGTGTCATACACAGTGAACGCAATGCAATGTGTGGTAGATTGAAGAGCATACACACAGTTAGTAACGCAGGTCTAAATAACCATCACAAGTTAGTATTAGAGTTTTGTTTTTCGTCCAAAGACTGCGTCCAAAAGCTGAAGTACTGATGACAAATTGTCTAGAAATATATATTTCAGTTTAGATCTGTCAAAGTCAAGCTGCTTTCGTCACGTCGTTTCGGAGGTTGATGTTTTTTTGCACATCTTGCAGTAACTCAATACTACCGGTAACACCCGGGCGGATCGAAACGACTACTTGGCGCATTTATCAATGGTGGATGTAGTGAATTTAATGTAATTAAACAATAACGAACAACCCACCAACCTCATCTTGAATTTTCAAGATGAATGTTCCGGCGAAGCACTCCACTATCACTATGTGTATGTGACAATGCCTTCACAGTTTAGAATCAACAGCCAATCATATTGCTTCTTTCTTCAACGCGCTTGGCCAAGCAATCAAAATGTTCTAGGCGGAGCTAAGTCACATGACGCTCGATGCTGCTATTTAAGACGCGCACCACTCTACCATGTATTTCTATGGGCTCTGCGTGAGCTGCTGTGAAACACCGATCGAAAAGCCGGTGAAAATAGATTAAATCGAGAAAACAGCACAAACTTAACTTTAAAGATATCCTAAACAACCAAGTTTAATTATGTTGCATATGTAGAGGAGAATTTATTGGCCTTTGTTTTCACAATGGTGGTTGCCAGGCGGCCTGACCCGAGAATAAATGTCGCTGCGCACAGTGGAAGCTGTGTTGGCTTGGATGTCGAGGCAATACAGCGACGATATGCATACATCATGCAACTCACTGATATTCAGACCAAAGCTATTCAAACTATACTTAGTTCGGAGTCACCAACACCGCGCAGGCGGACGATGCACCGACCTATAATGGGTGAAAGTTCGCTGTGTGCGACATATATGGAGCACAGAGTCCATGGGGGGACGACTTCCACATTAAGTGGGTAAGGGTGTGAAGCCCACCTCTCGTAAACCATACTCACTTCTTTTTTTTTCTATTTATATACCCACTTCTAAACACAAGTGTTTTCAGCGAAAAAAAAAACACCCAGCTCACAACTTTCGCAACCAATGAGCGCATCCGGGCAATGCATTTTACTCAGCCTTTTCTGGTATTTTGCTTCGAATATAAGGACCTGTGAGAAAATAAATAAATGCTACACACTTCTAAACCAAAACATTGATAAATTACCACTCACATCTAAACAAAATAACGTGAAATGACACCCCAATCGGGCGGCACATACCTGTATTGCACTTCTATGCAAGTAACCCGCCCGGGCACACAGTGTGCTTGAGTTCAATATAGTTTGGCGGGAATTTCATTTCCGAACGCTTCAGCGTGGTATTAAGAGTTTGTATTCAGGGGTGGGTGATACCAAGGTGGAAAATTGTTGTACATATGGGGGTAATACCTGGAATTGCAATAGAGAGAGTTCAGGTCGAAATACAATATGTAGTGTTTTCTTGTTACGTCTGATATTGCTGTGGTATTATGTTGCTAATGCGAGATTTGTTCCGAAATTCAGCGTAATGTATGCACTACAGGGTTATTTGTTTGTTTTGTTGCTGAAAACACCCCTATTTTCTTATGGCAGAGTCATGCCACTTTCACTCCTACTGGGAAATCTGCATTGTTGCTTGAATGTGAGCTAATTAACCACATTTTCCAGACCGGCAGAAGAGTATGTAAAAGCCAATTTTAACAGCCCATCACGTGATTTTACTCAGAATATTTACGTGGATTGAGCATATTCCATTTTACACAGGAATAATTGAGAGTGGAATATGTGAGGGATTGTGTCAAAAGAGATGTGTATACTGAAAAGTAATATCTATCCTTTTGCGTCGCTGAGCATTTTTGATTTAGTATACTGGTTTGCAAAAAATGAATTTGTATGCTGTGCAATGTTTTTTTTCACCGAAACGCTCCTAATGGTTGAATCTGAGGTTTGACTCAAGGAGTGTAATGTAGGCCTACTTCCCATATTTCATTTACCATGGGTGTTTGAATACAATGGTGACAGCAGTGATTTATTTTCTCAAAAGTGAACTGTGTCATAGAGAGGGTTTGAACTAAACGTGCAATATTAAGCTTTCTCCTGGAAGGCCCAGCATTGCTGCAGTATTATACTGTTAGGTGAATAATGAAATGCTCTCCTAATTTAATTAATTATAAACTGCCCAATGTTTATTTTATATTTAAAATGGTGCTTCTGCTGGGAAATTGAAAATGTTGTTTCCCGGTTGCTAAACAAATTATTCACAGCCGTAGCGGGATATCGCGCGATGGTAAGATTTTTTACGTACACTGGTTATATTTGTTTAACTTGTAAACACGAGGTCATTTCATTTCAAGATTCTATGAACGTAGACCATCAAACTCGAAGTGTTGGTCGTTGCACTACGCATGAGTGACATTTGTCTTGATAAACATTGATTTTCCCACAATCCAATGCGCTCTTCTAATGGAATCAGAATTATGAGGTTTGACCGTTGCGCGACTTGCACTGACTACCACCGGTGACTTCTTCGATACCTTCCAATCACCTAAAAAACTCCTAAATAAAGCTTGGTAACGTCTCAGTTTGTACTGAGACTGTTTATATGAGACTGTAATCACACGTTAATGTCATTTTGTCGCAAGATTCTGTCAACGTAGGCAGAGTGTCCGTCAAGCTGGTATAGTTCCAATTCATTTTAATCATCACTGGCGTTTGTAAATCAAGACCGTAAATTGCATATTTTTTAAAGTTGTAGTAATGTCCTATTTGTGAGTGTTCTATCGAGCGATTAACATTTAATCATTGTGTTAGTAGGAGCCTATTGTAGCCCCGGATCGTAACTTTCACATCTTTACAATTACAAATATTTTGCTGTAAATCAGGAATTTGTATTTTATAATTTCGGCCACAAACTTGTACCTCCATTATAGAAGCACATATAAGCCCTAAATTTGTTGCCGCTAAAAAACGGAAAACTTGGAGAAAAATCCACAGTGAACTGAACAGTTTCACTGGCCCATGGATTTCTGGAAATTGTTTCCACAATCTCATTTGGCAAACTCAGAAAGAAACTACTACATGTAGTAGTTTTAATCCATCAAATATTATTGTATTTAAAACACTTATATTGCGAGTGGACGAGTGACTGGTGTGTGGTGTACTGTGGAGTAGCATTGTAGTGATCGCCGAGCAAACGGCACACAGTGTCTTGGATCGACGCTGCGGATCGACTGTGCGTAGGGGGCGTACCCAGGGTACATGTACGTAGTCTGATTTCGATATTTAAATTCGTTGATATTGGCAATGGACCATTTTATTTGATTTTAGTATTAAATACTTGTTATTTAACAATTTCCCTTCTTTTTAAATAGTTTCTCCTTTATTCGTTTTCGAAACCAACATTGAATTTGTATACATGGTAGGGGACCTGGATGCTCAATAATGGGATACATTATCGCGAATAATCTGCTGCAATGCATCATAAAATCCACTGGTGTTGATAATGTCATAATATAATATGAGGTTATTACGAGGATAACTCAAAGTATGCACGAAAACAGTAATAACCTTATTATTATACATCTTTTCCTTCCAAGGATGCATCATGGGAATGCCGAAATCTAAAAAGTTTAGATCATAATCAGCGAACCTCTTTCTGTGGAGTCCGGACAAACCTGGTGGCAGTTATGTTTGTTTTTTTATTATTAGTGGACGCGTGATCATTCCATATTTGGAACTCGCATTTCCTAATATGGTAAAATGTAAATACCGCAAAATTTCGGTACGCTGAGAAACTCTCATAATTTTGAAGGCCTTCATTGAGTTTTGTACAATATATAATGGGAAAGGGGTCCATGTCCCTATTTTTGAATAGAGAATATATGGTATAAAAGTTACATTTGTTATGCAATGTGAGAATTAATAACACGTGTGCGTGAGCGTTGACCCTTCGCAATGTGTAGTTATTGTTCTCATACAATTTGCATACTGAATTAAGACAAGGTTTGCTTAATGATCAACAGATAGAGTTCAATGAGCAGCGGATGGATTACTGTGTGAGGTCTGAGTACGAACCCTGTCTTTATGGTTTCTTCTTACGTAGCACAATGAAGTTTTGTCTAGAGTTATATCTTTGATGACACGTGACCACGTATAAAAGTTGTAAAACAATTTGTGAAAAGAGACGCGTACAGAAGTTCTAGGACAATTTATGAGAACTATTTTGACTTGGAAAAATTAGTCAGACTGATGATATACGTTTTACTTGTGCGAGTCTATCTGGTAATATTTTAACGGAGATTAGAGCGATGTGGCGAGTGAGGCATCTGCTTACAGTGGTGAATCACATTTGCCATAGTAGTGAGTTTGAATGTTGTGTGCATGTATACTTTTAATATGCCTGTAATTTATAGTTGTTAAGGTTCCGTGAACAAAGTCTTTCTTGTTACTTGTGTGACGTACAATGTCAATCCACATATTCTAAACACTTAATAAACACTTTCAGAATAAAATTAATTTTAATTAAAAGTATTGCCATGTAGCTACAGTTGGGAACGTGTATCATATCTGTTGTTTTCTAATGACAATAACTTCAATTCCAGAATGCCTTCACCGATGCATCAGCATTTCTGTATCGGGCAACAAATAATCGTGTTTATTTTCAAAATATAACTATACTGGTGCCAACTGGGTGGTCAGAAAATTCTGGATATGGAATGGCTACATCTGAAACTTATGAAACTGCCGATGTCCGTGTTGACAAAGGAGCTGGGAGTGACAATAGGCCATACACACACCAAATCGGTCTATGCGGGGAGTTTGGTCAATATATTCGCTTGACTGACAAGTTTTTTACTGATGCGTCTGTTCCAACTAATCTAGGACCTCTAGGTAAGATGAACGTATACTTCATAGAGTGCATATATTGTTTATTCATTTGTACATGATAATATTATCCAGGTACATTATATGGCGCATTTATTATATAAACACTCTTCCAGTCATTCGTAGTGTTAGAGAAAAACTGAGATCAATCCTAGTATGTATTACCAGTCAATAAATAGTTTTACAGATTCATATATACTCCGGGAAGATGACTCTGAGACTATAAATGGCTCTCAGTACAATACCTACTTGCAATATAGTACCACATTTTGCAAAATACAAACAGCTTCAAAAATATGTCGAAAACGTTAATAAGTTAATAAGACTGGCACATAAGACTGGCACATGGTAGGTTAGACATGCTACTCAAGGAACACAGTAATTAAAGACATTATCTTGTAAAAGGTTTAGTGCAATTATTGTACAGGAGATGATTTAGATTAAGGTCTCTGTTTCGATGGTCGGTGGTGGTGGTACTTCGAATTGTGATGGGTGATTAATATCATAACTACATCGAGCTACAAACTAGAGCTGAGTAGATTTCCGACGATTTTAAATGATGAATCCTGACAGAACATTCAAACTCTTCATTTGATGGCCTACTTATATCACTACTAATTACAAACATCAACATTACAAATTTTTAGAAAGGATTTTAAATTGGTAACTTGAGAACTTGCAACCATTATCTGAATAAATAACTGATCTCATGGTGAGCAAATGCAGATTGTGAAATTGATGATGAGCTGTTATTTAAACACTTACTATCGGTACTAGTCGATCTGCTCGTATATATTTACAGAACAACTGAAATAATCAAGAACATACTGTATCACTGTGTTGTATATGCAATTTTATGGCATCTTGTTAATCTAATTAGAAATCAATGTATTCTCAGTGAGAGCTCATTCGAGTACATGTAATGTATGCTCGGTTTTAAGCATGGAGTGACTCCAAGTGATTCAACGGGGGCATAATTTTGTTAAGTTTTATAAATGGAAATTGATTTTTAAGTCAGTAATATAAAGAGCAAGACATTTTAATTTCATTATATGTCTTTTCATGATTCACATACCGAGTCCATGAGTTGTTCTAATAGCACTTTAAAAGAAAGTTAAATTTTATACTTAGGTGATTGATAGTTTGTAAAATTCACTTTTTGTCACCCAAAAAGCAGAAAACAACTGTTGGCTAGCTATACAATATTGATAACTCTCATTTCATCTGGCACTATTTATTATGATTTGCTTTGTCTTAGTATTATTGGCTTTCAATTTTGCAATGACTTGCCAAGTTTGTTAAGCTTAACGCCAAAGTTCAAATTTCAGGTTACTATAATTTTAATGTTCTGCTAAATAGTGTATGTCAGAAATATATTCGTCTACTATTTGTACAGCACTGTCGAGCTGTCAAGCAACGATATTTGATATATCATTAGATAATTTAAGTTAGCATTGTGTTTCAGAAAGTAGAAAACTATGCGAAAATAACAACTTTTCATTATTACACGTCACTAGTCAAAATGATAATTAATCATTTCATTTTCATACTTGCATTTTCAAAATACGTGTGCTTAGAGCGTGAGCTATTGATTGGCTGGTTCATTTATTCATTTTACGCATTCATTCATTCAATCACTCATTCATTCATTCACATTGTATTTGTGATATGTTAATTTTTATCCAGGTAAAGTATTAGTTCATGAATGGGGACACCTACGTTGGGGGTTATTTGATGAATACACAGTTGATGAAGATGAAAGCCATTTCTATTTTGACACAAACGGCGAACTTCACCCAGTTGCCTGTCACCAATGGATACGAGGTAGCTGGCCATGTAGCGAGAGAGGTGCAGATGGATTGCCATTGCCCGATTGTGTGTTTCACCCAGAACCTACGCAACCCGATGGCTTACCGATCAAATCGTCTATTATGTTCGCCCAGTGGATACACGGGGTAAGTACTTTCAGATTCCGATCATGTTTATGGTAAACATCAAGTTGTTGTCATGTGTGACGTGCATTTACTAAGGATAATATATAAGTATACAATATGAGCTATTATCAGATACGAGTATGTGAAGTTCAGTACTCATGTTATGTTAGCAGAGAAACATACCCGATAAAACTAGGCGTTCAAAACATTGTGGGTATTCGATTTCTGGTGGTTAACCTTTGTTATTGAGATCACACTGTGATAATAGAAAAAAGGCTCATATTTAAAGATGCTTAGAGACAAATCCACAATTATTTGTGGCGGGAAATTAATTCAGAATAGAGAAAAACAAATCATTGTTATTCCACCAAATTACTTGTTGAATTAATTGTGATGGTTGACGCCAAATTGTGAACCATCATTACTCACATGATTCTCAAACTAAGGCTTTGAATTTTATCATATATCAAGTTAATTACAAGTCAGAACACTCTAGATATTTCGGACGTTACACCAACTTATTACTTACCACATGTATAGTGTAATATGACAGATCCCCACACCCTCCCCGAGTCCCCGTGGCATTCGTTGCGTATGGAAGTTATTTTCACGAGTGATGCAGTGTATCCTGTGGCCGTACTCTTCGCTCGTGAAAGTACAGCAGAATACACCGCATCCCGAGTGAAAATAACTTGCACACGCAACGAAAGCGACGAAGAGGGTGTGGGGTTCTGTTATTATTACATATGTTCCATATTTGATTATTTCATATTAAAGAAAGAACGTGCAACAAACCGGGA